AGTATCGGGAAATACGTTCGGAAAAGCAGATCTGCGAGGGTAAGCTGCAGTCTAGAGATCACTGCCAGACCAGCAATGTACAGTAGTGGGGGCTTTTAGAGGAGAGTTTCATCAATGCTTAGAGGATAAGATAGAAATCCCAGTTTAATCTGGTACCTTTCTTCACAGAACCCAAATTCTCTCATATTCCTGACACTTGTCGACAGTGAACCCCTTAGATGCTCACATTTGAATAGATTACAAGCGTTGCTGCTTTTTGCCTATAACATTCTTGCTGTGGAATAGAAGTCTAGTTACCACACTCCATTCAGGTGTTTGTACCAGGATCCTAGTAAAACTGTTCCTGAAACGCCAAGATTGCAGGGAGGGCAGCATAAGCTTATCCATGGGATAAGTACTTACGGTGTGGAACAGCAAATACGTCTCGTGAGAGAAAGCAATTGCAAATCCTCTGAACAACATAAAGCACTCCGTGGAATAAATTACTTTGCAGAAAGATTGCGATTCTTTGGAAAAGCTGAAAAGCAGGGTCAAATGTATTACGAGAAAAAATATTTATGTAGAAGAGGAAATTGTTTCCATGTGAATTCTGCGGGAGCGGTCTGTCTAAATACATTGTGTACCGGATCACAGCGGTGTCGTTAGTTACAGCAGCGCTGCATTTGTCAGTCTTCAGACAAAATATTTTTGAAAACATCTTGAAAAACATTTTTAAATTCCTTAAGGACATATTTCTAAAGGAAGCGCGAACACTTGGAAGCTACCAAACCAACCGAAGTGAGCGCTTCCTCAGCCATCCTTCCCTTGATTGCCCTTACGTCAGAGAGACGGTCGGGCTTGCTGGGATGAAAGGAAACAGCAAAAAGTCGCTCTCTGAGGCAAAGCGAGGACGGAGCCGAGGCCAAGGCGAGCGGCCACTCCCGAGGAGCGGGGCTGGGGGGTGTCCGTGCCCTTGGGCAGGCGGGGGAGGGGGCCAGGGGGGTGTCTGTGCCCTGGAGCGGGCAGGGGAGCGGGGCGGGGGTGTCCGTGCCCCCGGGGATGTCCCTCCCTGCCGTCAGCCCGGTGCGGCGGTGCCGGCAGGGGGCGCGCAGCGCTCGCAGCAGCGGGGAGGGCGCTGATCCAGGGGGATCCCGGCTCCGCTGCCCGCTGCGGGCACTGCCGGCACTGCCGCGGGACGGCGCTCCCCGAGCCCCCGCTGCAGCGGCGCTGTGCCGTGGAGCCTTTGGGCCGCGCAGCCGCCCCCCCGCCCCAACATCCGCCCGACCCCGCCCGTGCTGCTCCGCTGAGCGCTTCCCGCTGCTCCTGGCCTGCGGAGTGGTCATTCCCACGGTGCGCAGCCCCGCGGGGCCGGCTGAGAGAGGCGAGGAGTGAGCGATGCGCGCCCCGCACAGGTCGGGGAGCTGGGAGACCTGGCGGCAGGGGAGGAGGGGCGAAGCTGGGCAGTACTGAGACCATCTCCTAGGGAGCTGTTTGCTTCTTTGAACTTCACTTCTCGTTCTGGGAGCTCCCAGGCAGAGATGCCATGAGCCAGCTCGCCGAGCGCTGGGCAAACGGGGCTGTTGGGCAGCCTTGGTATGAACGCGCCATGTTGTATGAAAGGTGAGTTACGCATAATACAAACAAATCTATCTAATAACCTACCAGTGCCCAAAGAAACATGGTTTTATCCCCCTAAGATTCTTTTGCATCAACTCCTGAGCACTTTTGTTTGGTCAGTTCAACTCACACCTCTGGCCTAGAGCTAACCCACTGGAAAGAGAAATCCAGAACGATCCCAGGAAGGGTCAGCACAGGTGAGAGGGGGAAACAGCAAGTAGGGTTTATTGGCAAATTGTTTCCCCTAAGCTAACTTCGGTGTGTGTGTTGATGACATGGCTCATCTACAAACTGCTGCCTATGAAAATTTGACTTTGTTCGATAAAGTATGTTAGGTTGTAAACCTTGGCACTAGTTACATGAAGTCAGAGCATGACATCCAATTCAAAATGACTGCAAAATATTTTATAAACAAGCAAATACACAGCTGTGTTTTCTTCCAGTAGTGAAGGAAGGTCTAATTTATATAGGCAGAGAAGAAAGCAGGTAATGCAGTAGCTGAAAGTACAAGTCTGTCATGGGGTATGGAGCTCTTAGTGCAGAAGAGAAAACACTTTATTTAGAGATAAAATTGCCAGACAACTTTATTTTAGTTCCAGAACATCAACTTTAACAAAGGTTCGTTGTTGAAAATCAGAAGAAGAGAAGTTAAGACCTGCACACCAGGGCAGAATTAAGATAACCTCAAACACACAAGCCTGGTCTGCAGGCTGGCAGTAGTCACTAGGAGACGTGTGCAGGTGTTACTGCTGTATTTATTCTGTCACTTGTTCTTTTAATGAGCAGAAGGAGGAAGTAGCTGGGTTGTGTAGCAGAAATACATTCATGGTGGAAAAGCAGCTTTGGGTGGAGAAGTGTGAGTCTGCCTGGGTGTGTGGAAGGAAGGACCAATATGTCTTGCTTCAGAGCTGTATATCCTAGGTCATGTCCTCTGTGAAGCAAAGGATTTTTGTCTTTTTTACCCTGGGATGCTGGAGGTGAGTGTGATGCGTACTTAAAACTATATAAACAAGATATTTTGATGGTACCCTGCACAGAATCAGCAACTGTGCTCTTCCCCTTGAGTGTGTTTGGAATTTCTCTCAACTAGGCTTCCCAATATTTAGAAATCCTGAACAAATATAGGAAATTGCTGAAGAAAGGAAGGATGCAGCTGAGAGAACCTGACCATGCACATTTGAACTGCCATAAAGTGTAGTGACTGCATGAATCTGTAGAGTTCACAGTCATAATATTCATTAAAAGGGCTATTATTGCTGTGTGACATTAAAATCCCTACTTTTCCTTTGTGAATGATTGTTACTAGGATGCTGTAAAGCTAAGGATGCCAAAGGTTCAGAACTAGATAATACTTTTGCCAGTTCTAGAAGACGGTCTGAAGCTGGCATTTCTTGTTTGTCTGGCATCCACAATTACTCTTGAATTAGTATGATTTGTTTGGCTTATTATAGAAATAGAAAGTGTGAAATTCTATTCTCAAAAACAGATGCCAGCTCACTGGAGACAGAAAAGCTTTCTGTTCTTCTCATGTGGTCAGGCTGAGTCTATAGTAATGAGCTACATAAAGGAGATGCCGTTGCCTACAAAGGAGATGCTTAAGTTTCCATGCGTAACTTGCAATATGCAATAGCACTATCCTATTGGACAAACTTTTGGGATGAAGTCATATTTGTTTTCTTTGTAACTGCATGGACTACCTCTCTAATTTACTTTTTTAGTCACCTTAAGCACTCCTGAGCAGGAAGTGACAGAAGGGTGTCATCATGTTCATAATGTCTTTGGCTTCTCCACCGATACTGTCAACATGCCAAAACGTTTGAGCCAATTAGAAGTTTAGGCCGAGATACCAATGCATTTGCTCTCTGAACAATCAGTTTCTTCCAGAAATGCGTAATATCTTTCACTTGGATTAATAGTCCATTACTGGATTGGACCCTGCAGCTTTGTGGGAGAGCACCAGCCTCGTGCTGGAGTAATCGTGAAAAAAACATTGTTCTTACAGAGAGCTGACCTGTAACAGTAAAGTGGTTAAAATCCTGCTCCTGCTGTGGGTAAAGTTGTTTTCCTTTACACCATAGTCCTTCCACTCAAAATGTTTTGGACCTTTAATTATTCAGGGGTTTACATTTAGACCATTTCAGGGAAAAAAACCCAAACAAACTCAAAAAAGCCTCCTACGGCATTTTGGGTTTGTGGATTGTTTGGTTGTTGTTTTTTTAACCCATATGTGACTGTGCTACCAAAAAATCTTAAATAGTTCCACTAGACTAAAGTAAGTTGTGTTTATAGGCAACAATTATTGCTGAGAAATATTGACATTTCACATTTTCAAGGCTGCTTTTTCCCCCCTTTTAACTGCCAGCTGTGATAGGCATTTTTTAAGGGTAGGAGGCTGTGAAGGGTGTTAGAGACATTCATATTGAAACAGAATGAAACAACATTGCAGCTGATCCATATGTGATGTTGTCGATGGAAGGACTAATGACAGGGATAGTGAGTGAAGATGGACAGCAGGTCAGGTACGGACTTGCAAAAGAACATAGTGGGAACAAGGGCAGCACTTTAATTTTGGGTTGTGTGTGTTTAGAAACATCACTATGTAATATGTGTAACTCTGCCTGTGAATCAGAATGGCTAGAGAGGTAAGTAAGGTTATCTCAGTTTTAAGGTTAGCTAGTCCTTTGCTTGGCTTTCTTACCAAGGGAGCAGTGTGATTTCCTGCTACTCCAGCAGGGACGGTACCTGGGAAATGGGCCACAGAGCTGCAGGGGTGAAGTGTGACACAGCCAAGGGCTGGATTCTACCGGGACAGCTCATGAAGATGTGTCAGGGCGGCAAGGAAATGTGTGTCAGGCGTTGGTCGCATTTGTGCCGTCCCAGGTCTTCCCCCTCTGGGAGGAGCTCACACAACTGGGCTTTACCCTAAGCCACGTTCTGCTTAGGGCCATATCTCTGGATTTATGGCGTTTGGACTACCTTTGCTTTCCAAAGCCACGTCTGGAAGCGCCCGGGGATCTGCAGCGCTGCAGTTCCCCTTTTGCTCTGAAGCCGTCCCAGGCGCGGATGGATGCAGTGGCTGTGCTGAACTCCGGGGGTGGCAGCAGCACGATGGGGAACCTGCTGCCCTGCGAACACGCCCACCCCCCCCACACCTCTCCCGCCTGCCTTCGAGGTCCCTGCAGCAGAGCGAACCTCGGCCGCCCGTCCGCTGCACCCAGAGCCAGGTCCGAGGCATCCTCTCTCTCCCGGGTTCCCTTGCACACCACGGCGGGGCTGTGCAGCTCCCGCGGCTCCTGCACACCCGAGCGAAGCCGCAGCCCCAGTGCCTACCTGCGGGGCGGCGGCGGGCAGGGGAGCCGCCCCTCCTGGGCGCGGAGCTATAAGAGCAGCGCAGCGCTATAAGGGCAGCGCAGCGTGGGGCGCAGCGGGAGCCATGGGGAACCGCGTCACCCGTGAGGACTTCGAGTGGGTCTACACGGAGCAGCCCCATACGCAGCGCAGGAAGGAGATCCTGGGTACGTCGGGGCGCTCGGGAGCGGCCGCCGGCGGAGCTGGCAGGGCTGCGCTCCGGGACGGGGCGGGGGGGGCGAGGGATCGGCGCCGGGTCCGCCTGTGTCGGTACCGAGACCGGCTCGGGGCGGGTGTCCAGACTGTGGAGAGCCACGGCCCAGTGGGCTCGGAGGGGTGTTTCCCCCGAGGGGTGCAGCTCTGCCCCGACTCTCTGCCTTCCGGACGCAGCGGTAAGCCGGCTCACCGGAGGGGCAGAGCTGCGCCCACCTGCCCGCACCGCACCCTGGCTGCCGCCGGGGGATCCCGGCGGGTGCCAGCCCTTCCCAGGCTGCCCGGACTGCGGGCTGGGAGCCCTCCCGAAGGCACTTGTTCCCAGTGTCTCGGGAGCGCAGTAAAGTCAACGGGGATGTGGGTGAGGTTTGCTAGAGAACAATCACAAGTCTCCCGCTGCTTGTCAGGGACAAAGTGCGCGTCTGTATTTTCGTGTTAACTGCGCACAGGAGTGTGTTGGGTCGGGAGGTTTATTCTACTTTGGGGCTTTGGGCTATTCTGAAGATCGTTTCAGAGAAAAATTGATAGTTCAGAATTGTTGCAGAGTATTGTTGCGTGTCTCCTGAAAATACAATTCCAACCTTTTATTAATAAATAAAATTTTTACTTTTTTTCCTCAATTTTTATTTGGATGGGTTGGTTGTTCTGTTTTTTCCCCCTCTAATGAGTAGCATAAAGTTTTTAAAGTACTCTTATAAAGAAGGGCACTGGAAAACTTGTGGCTGAGTAGCAGCTCAGGGTGCGTATGCATAGGGTATATGCTAATTAGGTGCAGTATTTTAAGTCCTCCACAATCTGATAGATTAATCCAGGATTAATCTAAATGACAAAAACATTTCCGGTATAGTTGCACGGTGGAACATCCCGGTACAGGTTTGAATTACAACCAGGAAAATAATAATTATTTTACTATGTAATAAAGGTAGAGAGTCAAATTATATTATTATAGAAAATGATGCTTTTTGATGTGCTACTCATCCTTTTAGTCAAGGGCACTACATTTTGGTGAGCTGTGGGTAGAAGTATCTATGGTGGGTCTCTACTCTTACTAATCTCTTGCTTTTCTGGTTGTGCTGTAGAATGGGGACTGCAGACCACAGTGAAGTTGTATTATGTAAAGAGGGCTTTACCCTTACCCTTGTTGCAACAAACTCTTCTTAGGATCTTTCAACTGTACACTTGCAGAGGTTTTACCCACCTCTCCTTTGGGTTCAGAACAAGTGATTGGAATCAAGGTCTATTCTCACAGCCCCCGCTGCCCCAGCTGTGGGAGCAGAAGGAGAGGAATAGAGAAATACAACATAGGAAGAGAGACGTGAAAGATGTGGGCAGAACAATCAAGGCAGAATGGATCATGACACTAGTGTCATGATACCAAAATGTTACCAAAAGTTACTGAAGCTGTCATGGTATCCTGTATGATGCTGGTATCATGGTCCTCACTTGTATTATTCAAAGCCTGAGGATCAGCAAACCCCTAGTACCCAAAGTATGTACTTATTGAAATGTCTAGTGTCCATTGAGCTGGAGAACACTGTAAGAATCTTACATGCATATGAACAAATATCTGTAAAAGTCCATGTATTTTCTGTTGTTTTATACAGCAATGCCTTGGGGACAACATTCCATGCTGGTAAAGGAAGTATTTCCCTCCAAATAGGTTAATGATTTAGTTGCTAAGCACTGAAACTTGATTGTTCTCTGTTTATGCTGCAGCTTTCTGAAATGTTGGTCTCTCTCAGGCATGGCTACTTGGATTTAAATGCAAGTGGAAATTGTCTGTTAAGAAAAATAAAATGAGCAAACTGACAAACACGTAGGGCAGTTTCTTTCTTTGGGTTGTTGCCTCAATGTTCCGATAGAACAACTGAGAGGTAAAAATGGTCTATCACAAAGTTGTGACTTAGTAGCCTAGGTGTCTGTAAGACTTTTGTAGTCAGTGACAACGTGTCTGAAGGAGAACTCTGTGAGTCCAATCTCCCTGCCAAGGGTAGGGACATCTTTCGCAAGGTGAGGTTGCTAAAAGCCCCATCCAACCTGACCTAGAACACTTAAGAGGGATGAGCCATCCACAACTCCTGTGGGCACCTTGTTCCAGTTGAGCTGCAGAGCTGTGAGCTGTGTTTATCAACTGGGCTGGCTGGGAGGTAGCTTGTGGCAGGACTTTGTTGCACTAGATGAACCTACCAGAGGTGTGACTCCTAATGGCTATAATTATACCAGCAAATAGATCAAGGTTTTGTGCAAGGGAGAGGTAATCCTTTCTCTGTTATCTCTTTGTCATATCTTACTCATAGAATCTAGGTATTAAAATGTAGCTTGTGTTTGGTACTGTCGTACTGTCTAGGTGCCAACTGCTTCTAAGTTACAGGGGAGGTCCCTTGCCAAGCTGGCACTTCGACCCATATCACATTGTACGTGTTCCTGAACACGTTATTCATGCCTTTCAGTTTATGAAATGGAACTGTTTCATTGCTATTCTCTCGCCCTCTTGGTTATGAAAAGGCTGTTACTGCCTGGTGTCAGGACTGAGATTTGTGTAATGCTGCAATGAGCTCTGTTAGGGAAAGACCTGGCTAAAAACTTCCTGATGGAAGAAAGGTTTTTTCATCTAGATCTGCTTAGCCTTTCTGTATAGTTATAAAAATGCTATTAGAGGGAGATATAGGGTACAACACAGAGGTGGTATCTACTTCTAGTAGAAATAGGATTTCTACTTTAGCGTCAGTAAGGATTTTTTGGATCAAAACACTTGAAGAACTATAGTCTTGCACAGTGGGAAGTATTGGTGATTTGTCACTCTTGAGAGATGAAAAAAGCATTGCTCAGATGCAGGTAACACCATAAGCACAAAATGTATGGTTATTTCACCTGCAAACAGTTTCCCAAATGCAAGCAATGAGCAGTATGATGTGACATGGGAAGCATGAGATCATATTTGTGCCATGGGTTGGATCTAACTTTTTAAAGTTACTGTAGTAAAGTTCTGTTGGTCAGAAAATGTCTTGCCTCACAGGATCCTTAGGGAAGCACTTGTTTGCTGCTGAGGATGAGGGCTTACTCACTGTTGCTCAGGGTAGACCAGGAACATCTGAATATGATCTAACATATAAGAATAATTAATAATTATATAATTAATTCTTTGCCAAGTTATTTTGGAGTAAAGATGGTGCAAGCATTTTATATGTGCTTTATTCTGTAGGAAGGCTGAGATGTTAGCCTATGAGGAGGGGTAAAACACAATAAAAAAAGCAAAAAATGCATTTTGTTTTAGCAGTTATCTGGTCTGAGTATAGCTTTCAGCTGTGCCTTATTTAATCTACTGTTTCTTTCAGCTGTCTCTTCTGTTGCCTATTTAAACCTCACATTTATGAAAATTCTGATAAATTGTACCTACTGAAATATGCATAGGCATCTCTCCTTAGCTTAAATGAAAGCTCTGAATTACATGTGCTTCTGGCAAAGAAACTGAGTTTGTTTCCCCTTTATTCTGCAGTATGTGGGCTCAGTGCTGCCACTGATGTGCTTGTTCTCTGACGAGCACATCCAGAATAGCTGCTATCTCAGTGCTCATGCCAATTCCCTATGGGCATCACCTATGAAATAAATCACATGAGCAGAAAGTCACTGGTTTAGGCATTTGTAGTCCTCTGTTGAAAATGTATTAAGTGAACCAAAGGCTTCAGCCTACTTCGTATTGTGGGTTGTTGTTTCAGAGGCAGCTGGAAGTCCTCTTCCTAGCATTCCTACATCCCTTTCCTCTGAACTAGCTAGCAAACAAGTGTAAGCAAGTTTATAGCTGCTGTCATAGTGATGTGCTGACATAGTGATGTGTTGACATCATCCATCTCTGTTGACACCAGCAGTGTGGCACCACTGGGTACTTTCCCTCTGGTGGCACTTCTGAGTGAGCCCCCTCCCTTGGACCAGCCAGCATTAAGCAATTCAGAGGCTTGTGGTTGGCAAGTACAAGATTAAGACATTTTTCCTTGCACAGTGGATATATAAAACTTCAGTGTAATTAGCTGGGTAAAAAGGTTTCTTATTAGCTTGCCTGCTGGAGGGATTAGGAGACTATACAGAGCCAGAAGCTTTTGTCATGCCTGTTGTCCTCTGTGTGTCCAGTGTCTTGGCCCACGTATGGTTTGAATTAATCATAGAATAGTTTCAGTTGGAAAAGACCTTTAAAAGTCACCTAGTCCAACCCCCTTGCAATGAGCAGGGACGTCTTCAACTAAATCAGGTTGCCCAGAGCCCCATCTGACCTGGCCTTGAATGTTTCCTAGGACAGGGCATCCACCACCTCCCTGGGCAACCTATGCCAAGGTGTCACTGCCCTCATTGTAAAAAATTTCTTCCTCATATCTAGAATGAATCTCTCCTCTTTTAGTTCAAAACCCTTGTCCTATTACAACAAGCCCTACTAAAAAGTCAGTCCCTCTCTTTCTTATAAGCCCCCTTTAAATATTAAAAGGCAATAAGGTCTTCCTAGAGCTTTCACCTCTCCAGGTAGTAGAGCCTCAATTCTTGACTCTCTCAGCTTTTCTTTACAGGAGAGGTTCTCCAGCCCTCTGACAATTTTTATGGCCCTCCTCTGGACCTGCTCCAACAGTTCCATGTCTTTCACTGAGGACTCAGGTGTGCTGTGCTGTGCTGTTTATGAGCATGTTCATGAGCTGAGCTGTTATGAGGCAAAACATGGTCCTGTCAGTAAACTGTCTTCTTTTTGTTTGTTAATTTTTTTGGTAAAAATATCAGCTCCAGTATAGGACATGGGATAGTAAAGCTTACATCCTGTGCCTGGTGTCTCTTATTTGTTCTGGCAGGGACTCATAGTCAACAGAACATAGTCCAGGACAGCAGTGTCACAGAGGTTTTTTTTTCCTCTTCTCTTTAACAGACCTCCTAAGTGCCTTATACTGAATGGTATCTCCACTTTGACTATATCTGTACGTTGCACTTGTGGTCAAAATAAAGGAAAATCAAGAAATTAAATTTCTTCTCTTGTTATTACTAGCTTCTTGTGGATGTAGGCAAGGCTGCTGCTCCTTTAAACCTCTATCACTGTCTTTATGGAAAGCTCCTGTTCTTGTTCACTTCCAAATCCCATGTATACCAAAATGTGCAAGTGTAAAGTATGTGATGTCACATCAACAAGAAACTGTGTTTGGTACCATCACTGGGGCTCTTCTGAGTTACCTCAGGAACAGTGTCAGTAGCATGGAGGTTGAGTGAGGGTTCAGAACAAGATATTTGCTGTTTCCTGAAGAGGAGGAACACCAGGACCTAGCAATGGCCTCTCCAGGAACAACTGATCCAGCACTAACTGAGGATCACAGTAGGGCTATGGTGAGTGTTCCTGGATCTCCAGAGAAAAACATCAAGTTAAAAATATGTAGTCAGACTAATTTGTCAGTTTAGAAACTTGTGCTGAGTGTGACCTGCCTCTAGAAAGGTGACTGATGCTTACACACGACAGTGGAGTGATCTCTCTGAAATGTTAATTCAGTAAATGGGTTGTTTCAGAATTGTGAACGCTTCTGAAAATATTCTTGCAGCATTTATTCTCTCTTGACTGCTGTTCTTTCATCCACACTGTTGTACAGGTGGGAAATGTCTTTCATCATCATGGAGCAGCTTTCAGCTGCTCTGAGGTTATGTATAGAGACTGTGGAGGTGGCTGAGCAGAATTATTAACTACACTTACCTTCTCTACTAAAGTTCCCATGCTGCTTTTGTAGTGTGCTGACCTGGGAGACAGAAAAGTCCTGCTTCTGTACTGCTGTATATCTACACCAGTATCCCCACCCTCCAAAAGGTAGTATAATGAATCTGTCTGGACAACTAGAAGCAGCACACGTGGATAAACTGTCTGCCAGGCTGAGCTAATGGACTTCCTCAATAAGCCAGAGGCTGGAAAATGTGCCGTGTAGACACTCGAGTAGCTGGAGCTCTGCTGTTCTCATCGAACTCTAAAGGTCAAAACCTGGTCCTTTATAGTCATATAAATTTGTGGGTGCCATGCCCTGTCCCAAGTCATGTGTCCACACATGAACTCCAGCTGCCTTATCTAGAAGGGCTGAATCATGAGGTTGTTTTTTTTATCCTCTTTCTGTGTCCTCTCCGTGCCATAATTTTGCATAATGAAGAGTTAGCTCTAGATTACATCATGTTTTAGCCCTGCCATGGTGCTTGTTGGGAAGCAATGGACTTTGGCCATATAGAAGCTCATCATTCTTAGAATGGAAAAGCTCTCAGGAAGACCAAAATGGAAGCAATTCAGGAAAGAGCAGCATGATGAGAAGCTCACTTCAGATGCTTCCTCGTGTGAAACTCTAGCAGTCTCAAGACTGGGGAGTAGGTGTCTGTTTACTTTGCAAAGTGCAATGTGTAGAAAACAAAGGTGGTCTTTACTGGCTGGCTGCCAGGGGTCTGATAGTCCTTTGTGCCTCCTGGTTCAGCACTGCCAGTAACCCTGCCTCTGATTCTCTGTTTCCTTTTTGACATGCAGATAGGTTATGACTGGTTTGTACAGCACCTACAGTCTTTCAGCTGACTGCAAGGCATGAATGTGAGGGGAAAAGGAGATAAATATTTGTGTTATCACATCTTTGTTTCAGTATGTTATACATAAACTGCAGTCATCAGGATCACTTAATCTGAGACTAAATGTGTCTCACTGAGGAGTGCTTAGCCTCAAGTCTATGCAGGGTCAGTATTCAACATTCTGCATTTGAAGCACTTCTGAATGAACAGATCTTTGGCAGGCTACTCCACCAGCAGGGCTTTTAGCCTCCAGTGAGCTTACGAGCACCACACCCCTGCCCAAGCCATGATTTCTTCATGGGGAGAAACCTGAGGTCTCTCCATGCCGTGGAAATGGGACAGGTTTATCAGTATTAATGATAAATAGCCACACTACTGTGGTTTGACTAGTATGCAAAGATTAACTGAGGAAAGATTGGAGAGAGGAGTTAATCATGTGTTGAATTTAATATTAAACCCTAGCAAGTTACTTAATAGCTGTCACCTGTGACAAATGCAACTTGCCTGCATTGCTGTCTGCACACACTGTTGCTGCCTGTTGGCAGCAACTGCTCTGAAACCTCTTAAATGGAATCTGTGGTCCTTGTTGACTGCTACAGAAAGAAATAGGTCAAAAAACTTCCATTATTCTCAAATGACAATATAAAGCATCTCTAAGCAATTTTCCCATCCCATTAATTTTTTTTTTTTTGTGAAAATAGAATCATAGAATCAGCTGGGTTGGAAGGGACCTCTGAGATCATCAAGTCCAACCCTTGATCCACTACCACCACAGTTACTAGACCATTGCACTAAGGGCCACATCCAGTCTCATCTTAAAAACCTCCAGGGATGGAGAATCCACCACTTCCTTGGGCAGCCCATTCCAATGCCTGATTACCCTTTCTGTAAAGAATTTCTTCCTAATATCTAACTTAAACCTCTCTGGCAGAGTTTAAGACCATATAGCCTTAATTTGACCAAGCTGTCCAACAGATCTGGTTGTTTTACATTTCTTCATCTCTTTTTTTCACTTCAGTAACTTACATCTACCAGCTGTGCAACTGAACAATTGAGGTGGTTTGATTTATTAAAGAGTTTTCTGGGTTCTGAACAGAGGCCCCTAAGCAGGAGATTAATTAATTATATAAAATTGCATATCTTTAACAGTCTTTCTGACCAGGTCATTATATCAAGTTATTCTTTAGAGTGGACTTTGAATAAGCAGCACTTCATGTAGAATTTTGGTACATATTCAGGTACTAGGGAACAATTTTTAGCATGTTAATTTTTCTAGTGTGAAAACTATAATTTTAAAAAACTATGAAAACAAGAACGAAAGCAAAACAGCAAAACAGAAACCCTTTGGACTTTCCTGAGATTTTTATCAAAAAAATTTGACTGACTTTAGAAAGATACGAACTTTTACTAGAGATTTCCCACCACTTAGAAAAATCTCTCTTTTGCCTGAATATTCCTCGTGGTGAATTGGCCCTCTTGTCCTCACAAGAAGAATTGAGACTATCTCTTTTCTCACCATCTTCCACAGCACTTGTCTAGTCTTTATTGTCCCTAATCTCTGTCACGCTGAGGTGAAGCTGGCTAACAGGCTCAAAGGTTGTTGGAATGGTTACAAAGCATGACCACATCAATCTGCTTCCTTAAGTAGTACTTCATCTCTCTGATGGCTTCTCAGGCTTCACTTTTACAAAAGCCTTCTCTGCATTCAGCACTCCATACCTGCCACTGCTTTCAAGGTCACATAAACTACGTGTATTGTCTCCAGCATTTGTTTATAGCATATACAGCTGCATAGATGCTGGTCATTGTAATCTGATTTTATTGCATTGGTGTTACACTGTGACACTCAGATGACGTTTACTTTTCTGTGAATAAAACAGGCCTATCAAACTTACAGGACACACTGTGTAACCTCAGGGTTCAGAGCGAGTGACTTGTCTATGCACTTATCTGTGTGTAATTTTTGAGAAATGCGGAGTATGAGTTAAAGGAGGGAGGTCAGTAGGTAGGTAAAAGTCGTAAAACAGTAGAAAAAAATCTGTGCAAGTTAATACTAGAAGTGAGAAGTGTGGATTTGTAAAGAGGAGATGTGTATCGATGAACAGCACCTAGAGGATAAGCTGTACTCTGTATTTTCTTTCTTTTAAAAGGAAGATGAATGGCTGCTGGAACCAAAGATAAGTAAGCTAGTCCTGGCCTGATGTGAGTCAGACCTGGCAAGCCTAGCCCATGTCTCTTTGACACTGCAGTAGTTGTGAGGCCTCATGAAGCTGTTGTATGATTATCTTGTGGCTTTTATGCCTGCTTTTGGTATGTGACTTGGGAACAGGTCGAGGAATGGGAACAGAGAAAAATCTTCTGTGTCTTACAAAATCCTGATAATATTACTGACTTTATTGTGATCTTACCATATGTGAAGAGTTGTACATGTTGTGAGCACTGGTAAACACTCAAATAATTAGGAATTTTTTTTAAAATGCTGCGTTTATCATCTAACCACAGAGCAAAACCTGGCGAGCCTGTTGCTTGGTTCTCTTTCCTCTGCTAATATGTTTGAAGCAACAGTGTGAAAAGGGCTCCGAAGAAGACAGTTGTATCCCTTTTGTGGAAAAAAACATCTGATCTGAGCAAAATACAAAAGGAAATAATAAACTTGACAGAAGGTGCTTCTTAGTGCTTAAATCATGTGGGTTTTGGCATACCAATAATGTGAAGAAATACTCGTTGTGGTGAAGGCACATGATGCCACAGATTTACCATCAGGGTATTTTTTTTTGTATGTCTGTATATATCTATATATATCGATATCAATCACAATTGGACATGATGCTGGAAGTGGGAATAGAGCCCATATGTTAGTAAAGCCTTCATCATAGTGGCAACTCTACTTTCGAATTATGATTTCATAAAACTAGAGCCTCAAATATAGTGTGATAAAAACAGAGAGTCCCAGTGGTGATTGTGTTTACCTAACCGTGATCTACTGAAGTTTTTCTCTGCATTTTTTCCTTTAGCAAAGTATCCGGAGATCAAGACTCTGATGGGACCTGATCCACATTTAAAGTGGATTGTATCTGGAATGGTTTTCATGCAGCTTCTGGCATGCTACCTGGTGAAAGATTTATCTTGGAAATGGATTTTCTTCTGGGCTTATGGTTTTGGAGGTTGCATCAATCATTCGCTGACCTTAGCCATCCATGATATTTCACACAACGTCGCCTTTGGGAACAAGCAGGCCAAGTGGAACCGGTGGTTCGCAATCTTTGCCAACTTGCCGATTGGCATCCCTTACTCTGCCTCCTTCAAGAAATACCACATTGACCATCACCGGTACCTGGGAGGGGACAGCTTGGATGTGGACATTCCCACGGACTTTGAAGGCTGGTTTTTCTGTACACCCCTTCGGAAACTGCTTTGGCTTATCCTCCAACCTCTGTTCTACAGTCTGAGGCCACTGTATGTGAACCCCAAAGCGATTACACAGATGGAAATTTTCAATGCTCTTGTACAGTTTTCTGTAAACCTTATCATTTACAACCTTTGGGGACTCAAACCTGTTATTTATTTAATAGCAGGTACGCTTCTTTGCTTGGGTTTACATCCCATTTCTGGGCACTTCATAGCAGAACACTACATGTTCTTAAAAGGGTATGAGACATACTCTTATTATGGACCTCTGAACTGGCTCACCTTTAATGTAGGATACCACATGGAGCATCATGACTTCCCCAGCATTCCTGGATGCAGATTGCCCATGGTAAGTGTGGCATAAGTATGCATGAGTTAGATTTTTATAAAAGCTGCTAAACTGCCCCAAAGAAAACACTCCAAATCATAGCAATTGATCAATTTAAGAAAAAAAAAGGAAAAAGAAGAAGAAAGCTTTTTGGATTTGTTTCTAATTAATTTTAAGCCAGAGATTGAGAGAAATGGCTGTCAAACTGCTGTAATATTTAGTTTATTTGATGCAAATTAGAACATCTGACCCTCAGAGGGCTTGAGAAATACTTTTTGCATGATAAAATCCTCCAACAAGGCTCTAAATTTCTCCATTTACATCTCTCAACCGAGAAGTTGCAACTCTGAAAGTTTAAAGGCCCATCTAAAGGGAGACAGGTGGCAATTACTAGTTGAAATTTGTCTAATAATCAATCTGCTACCTATATTGCTTGATTAACATCAAAGAGAAGCTTTCCTGTTTTTGAGATGACATAAGCATTGGGGCATGTTCCAGCCTGACACAAATGGCACTAGAAAACAAAGCCCTGCTCTCCATGACTCGTTTTAGCTCTGCTGCCCCACCCACAGAAACTGAAGAGGCGTGGTCTGTCATTGGGAAAGTGCTGTGGCTTTCCTCCTTTGAAAGGCAAACCCCTTTTTGTGTATGTTTTATCAGCTGTGGGAATCAAATTTGCAAAGCCCAGGTGTCTAGGAAAGCTTTTCAATCTCCCTCCAGGTATGTAGCTACTCTTGTGTGTTTTAATACAAGGGTTCCACAGCAGGTGCTCACAGGATTAGAGGTACGTGACTTCGGAGTATTACTCCTGCATATAAATTCTCTGGCATGGTAGGAAGGAAACATCTTCTGTCTCTGGGCTGATGAAAAGTTGGGGACTGCTACTGCAGTATCCTCATGAGGTGGAGGTAGAGCTGGGGAGTCTGAGGTTCAGTAGCTGTGACCTCCCCAGTACTGAACAGGATGTACAGCTTGTATGATGGTATATCCAGGCAAACCCTGCTGTACAGAGTAATGTTCTTCATCACAGAAATGCTGTCTGAGAGGAGATTCAAATCAAGGGGAGGTTTTCTTGTGGTGTAGAAGAGAGTGGGAAGCCTCTATAGTGCCTGCAGTTCTGTTTTCATTCACCACTTTTGCTGCTGGAGGTCTGTCCTGGAGGAGCTGCCTGTTCCTGGTGAGGCACAGAGCAGCTGGTACAGCAGCCCACACTCAGATGTGAAGTTCTCCTGTCAGGCACTCCCATCACTGATACACCTGATAGTTCAGCTGGGAAGTGCATGGGCTTACCTTTAGTTTCAAATGTTCAAACTTATCAGATAGGCTTAGATCCTTAGATTACTGAAATGTAAATAGAGAAAGAGAAGAAGGTTAGCTCTGTATCCTGCACAAGGGAGGTGAGTGACTAATCGAACTTGCTGGGACTGTTGCTCCAGACCTGACTGAGACCTGAAAAGCTCTTCTCCACCCACACCACAAATAGTTCAACCTAATTCCTTGAGGCAGTACAGCAGCTGGAAGTATCTGCCCTCCCATATAAAGAAGATAGAGCTACTAGTTGATGTGTGTTTTGCTTTTTGGAGAAAGAGAGGCTTGTCATGCTGTTGGAGGACACACCAGACTTGTCGATCACTGTTGCCTTCTAGAATTATATTGAAAACTTGAAGTCTTTGACAAGTGATTAATTATAGTTAAATATTCTATCAAAAAGTGAAAATTCTTTGGCAAAACAGTTACTGTAGAAAATCCTTTGTCCATTAAAATAAGTTGATTACTCTTTTCTGCAAAATGAGAAAAAAAAATCTCCACCTCTTTGGTGGAAAGAAATAAGGAAACAGATCCTTACTGCTTAGCTTTCAACCTTGAACTTCATAATGGGTAAAAAACCTCACCTTGCTCTACTCTGCTTAACCTCCCAGCAAATTCTTCACTCAGCAAAGGTCTAGTTTTTTTCAGATCTTGTCTTTTAGGCACTTGAACTTGTAATAATCGAATTGTGTAATATGGATGACCTCTCGGTGAGGCTATTTTTATTTTTAATCATTGACAAGTAGAAAGTGGAATAAAGATCTTTATTTGGTTCCTGCATGATTGAGAGCAGGGGAGAAATGGGATTAGAGAATAACTGGATCTTAATCTTGGAAAGTAACTAGCTCTTCAGCTTGCTTATCAAGAAAGGAAATTCAGCTTTGTCCTTTGTTACAGGTGTGTCATTCAGAACATTCTGAGTAATGTGTTTGCTGCTGGAAAGACCTTTACCCTAGGAGTATGACAGATTTGAAAGAGGAATAATTAGGCTGCTCTCATAAACTTATGGATATTAAAGATGAGTGACATGGGTGTGCAGTAAGAAATTGTCTCTCTAGTATAATAAGAGATTACACAAGAGACGATGAAATTTAACATGGTAATGAAGGACCTGCTCTAAAAAACACACCCCTATAGACTTAGAACTAGTTTAGTCTTTGCATGAAGCCTTATAACTATAAAACATTGCATTATTTACCAAAAGATCCATTCTTCACTATATGAAGGATTGAATATACTTATGGAGACAGGAGATTGGAGGCGGAGGAGGAACTCAGTACTGATCCTAGAAGCTGCAATAAAAGTGGCAGTGTTACCAGAGGCAAACTAGTTACTCATTAAGCTTGTGGGAAAAGGAAAAGACATGGTATGAAACCAGATTTATTGGACAGACAAGACTGGAAAACATGGTAGATGTGCTGGGTTTGAATTGCAGATTTCATTAACCCTGCAATGGCCAGGAGGGCTGGCTTGAGTGCCCCTCCAGCCCCTGGTGGGGTTATAGGACTGTAGAGGGAACTCCTGTAATATGCTTTCTAGAATTCTAAACATAATTCTACAGTTTCCTGTTGTAAGGATCTCTAGTTTCTGTATAGCCCCAGGACAAAGAGTCTATAACAACTGTGCTGAAATACTAGGCTGGGTTTAACTTTTGTGCCTATCAGATATGATGGAGTAGGATTGGGGTCCTGTCAATGTGCTCTACAAGCACAAAACCAGAAGCAAAGTTTCAGTCTAAAAGATGTGATTTCTTACCCTACCACCTTGACTTATTTGAAGAAAAACCTCAATATACCAGGTGCTAAGTGCCTAGTAATTGTCTTGCAGACTTTGTGATCTCTTGTTATCCTTCCCTGATAACTTCCATTCACAAACTAGCAATGACTTAAGACTTACAGCTGAGATCTGTAAGGAGGAAGGGTGGGAGGAACAGAAGGAAAGGGACCATCTACAATACAATACAGAGAGCTTGAGAAGCAGGATTTAGGAATACTTTGTCGCAGTGCCATCCTCTTTTAAGACAATCTATGATCTGGCTGCTACACTTGCTACCTGAAAATTGCCATCCTCAGGTTTTGTACTGCACCCAGAATCTGACACAAAGGGTGACTCTTCCAGCCTCAAACATACTTAATAGATATAAAATCATAGAATCATAGAATCCTTAAGGTTAGAAAAGATCTCCAAGATCATTGAGTCCAAACTTGGACTGAATAACACCATATCAACTAAACCGTAGCACTCAGAGCCACATCAAGTCATTTTTTGAACAGTTCCAGGGATGGTGACTCCATCACTTCCCTGGCCAGCGTGTTCCAATGCTTGAGAACTTTTTCAGCAAAGAAATTCTTCCTGATATCCAGCTTGAACCTCCTCTGAAACAGCTTGAGGCCATTTCCTCTTGTCCTGTTGCTGGTTGCCTGGGAGAAGAGGGCAACCCTCACCTTGCTACAACATCCTTTCTGGTAGTTGTGGACAGTGATAAAGTCTCCTTTGAGCGTCCTTTTCTCCAGGATAAACAAACAGCAGCTTCCTCAGACACTCCTTATACGATATTGCATTTTAAAGGGAATCTGCATTAAACCCCAATTACTTTCTGCCCTTCCACCACCCAGATTTTCTGGTAGATAAGGAGATCATTCTGTTTTACAGATGGAGATGCTGAAAGAAATTACAACAAATGAGACGTTTTTGTTGGGAAACTTTTGCGGATCCATTATACAAGAGAAACCGCTTTTAAAATTCTTTTCTGCCACATGATAGCAAAATGGGAACAAATTTCCTTGTCTTTTCCATAGGAAGATCCTTCAGAAGTCCTCCCTCTAACTGCATTCATTAAATTTTCTCTTTTCTCCAATCCTTACTGCACTTTACCCTCTCTTCTCCAGTGTTTCTGAATGTTTCATACAGTTGTCCTGCCCAGAGCACAGGGACCTTGCCAGTGGTGCAAGTGGTGCCTGCCTTCCTGCACAAGGTGCTGCTGGGCACGAAGCCAAGCAGAGCCAAGAAACACTTCATGTAGGTGTGAATCACTGTCCTACTGCTGATCTGGGGTGACACACTCCAGTGCAAGCCCCTGGTCATCTCTTGTGACCTCCTCATTCAAAATGAGCTACCACCATACTCTGTGGGAAGGTGCTGAACAGGTACCCTTGCTGAACAAACAACTGCTCCACCACCTGATGCTGGCCAGCAGCTTGCCAGCCATGGCTGGGCTGCCTGCCTCCAGCATATGGTGTGTAGGATCTCCTTTAAAATTTACTGCTGGGTATTTTGATTAATCATCTTAATTGTCAAAGAATACTTGTATTCTAGGTGCCTGTTTTAAATCTGTAATACAACTGCACGATATGTGTATGGAATATATTGAAGTGCAAGTTTTCAGACATACATGTTGCGTTCACTTGAGCTCTTCAGGAGTATGCCCAGACTACACTGCTGCTCATGTTTGCAGAAACTATTGGGCCAAATGTAGGCAGGCTGTTTATTGGCCTCTTCTCTGAGCCATCTTTTCCTACATTGTCACTGGGGTCATTTTTAGTTAGCCTGTGGAGCCAGAGGACACAGCTGCTGCCTGAGACATTTTTCCTAGGAAGTGAATTGGTTCCTATGGATTTCCAGCCTTCCACTTCCAAGGGGCAATACAGAAACACTTCATGAAGCTGAAGCTCCTGTAGTGGTCAGAATTTAACATCAAGAGCTCTGCACAATAATGTTAATAGCTGAGAAAACATGTCTGGTTCAGAAGGCAAGAAATATATGGGGGCTTTAGAGAGGAGGGGAATGGTAGACTCACCATATAAACTTGACTAGCATAGGTGAGGGCTGAATTACTGTTGAAAGTCAAAATTCAGGCAGAACTTCTAAAATGGAGGTAGGAGGAAAGGTCCAAGCAGCAGTATGCTAGGGAATGACCATATCAGAGCTGTAGTGAAGTTTTTGGAGCTGGGTATCTGAGACCCCCTTTGTGTTTGCATCACGCCTCCTGAGTGGCCTGAGTGGCCTCAAGGGAGCTTACTGTTAAAATAGTACTCCCTCTAATTTTCTGGCTATTTCTTTTGCCACCTGGGAAAAGGGAGGATATAAACCCAGAATAAATTATTTCTGACTGTGGTTACAGAAGAAGCACAGGGAACTAAATCTGCATCTCCAGAGATGTTACCTGGTGCCTGGAAGTCACCTTTCTTCCAGTCATTAACAAATACCTTTAAGGGGAAATCCTGATATTGTCTGAATCCCATTGAAAATTAATTACTTTTGAAGTACAAAGTAACACTTTAAAGCAGGATAGAGGGAATTACTAGGAAGTCAGAGGTATTCAGTGAAAGACAGAATACAGTCAGACCTGAACTGAATCTTCCATGTCCAGCACAGCACTGCTATGCCACCAGCACAAGGAGTGCGCAGGGGCAGAGGTTCTTAATGACTCTTGTATGTTACCCAACCTACCTCACAGAGGAGTGTCTGCCAGGAAGCTGAATTAATGACGTTATTAGCAGTGAGCCATACTGGCTTATAATTTAACTTTTGCTGGGATTCTTACCTTTTCACAAGCAGTCACAATTCTCTGTTAAGATTCCACCATTACACCTCGGGTGCTGATGAGACCTTCCTGCTGGGTGACAGTTTCTCCGTAACCCTTTTTGTCTTCACTGGAACTCTGCACTGTGCTCGGCATAGCTGGCTTTAAAATTCTGCTGGGTTTTTAAAGAGAGAAGTCACGCTGTCCAGCAAGACAAACTACTCTATTCTAGAGCTTTGTTTGTCTAGGAGGTGGAGCTGCAGTAAAAACACGCCCAAGCAGTTAGGTGCAAGTTAACAGACTGCTGCTTTGTGTATTCAAAAAGCAGAGCATCTCGGTGGAGCAGGAATAATAACTAACAACTGATAACTTGGGAATCCTCATAGTCCCCTGAACCTGCCAGCTTTGAAACCTCTTTGTCCTCTGGTTCTGGCCTTACTCCCACTACAAGTACCACTCCAATGATGCACAGTGCTTCTCTGATGGCAGCAGTCTTAAGATTTGGGGATTTGTTACAGGGATGAAATTTTATTAGATTTACGATCTACTAGTGAATCTTGCAGCATTTTTAATGCCAAACTGAGGAGAACAGACCATCCCTGTGATTTCCTCTGCCTGCTGGAGGAACCTGTCTTGGATTTGCATCGCAGTAGCAAAATGGAGGGAAGAAAATGAAGTGTAGGCAAGACTATCTGGTATTTTCTCAGTTGGTAATTCTCTCTTACCCAGAACCCTCAACAGAAGGCTATTACAAGTGACAAACAGGGCTTTAAATACAGTGTGTTGGAGTCTTGACAATTGATTAGGTGGATGAGGCATCTGACTGTGGAGATCCCACCACTTCCAAAATGAGACAAAATAGTTCTGACTGAAGGCAGCGATCCCACATCTTTCAAATTCTGACACTGTGAGGCAAAACTTGCATCAGAAATCTGCAAGTATCTAAATGCATTTAACTACATCTCATTTGGCTGAACTTCAGAAGCTCACAAGCAATAACAGGTAACTTCAGGTTATGGCTGTGCTATCAGATCTGAATGTGAAGGCTGAAACACATCTGACACTGTGCAACTAAACAGCTCATTCTCTCTCTTCTTCTTCCAGGTGAAGAAGATTGCAGCGGAGTATTATGATAACCTCCCACATCACCAGTCCTGGATTCGAGTTCTGTGGGACTTTGTTTTTGATGACTCTATTGGTCCTTACTCAAGGGTTAAGAGACTGTGCAAGCTGGCAAAGGAAAGCTAACGGGCTGGTCTGCCTGTGGCAGTGGGGTGTGTTTTTCCACACTTGACTTCAGTTTTCACATGACTTCAGTTTTCTGCGGAAATAGGAGGATCTCTGTGTGTGCTGAATTAATGTTGGTGCATGCTGCTTAGACCAAGAGGATGAGTGTGATAATTAAGCAATTGAATGCACTATTTTAGACTAGTCATACTTTTTAATAAAGGATGTTTGTATATGTAACCCTCAGAAACTAGGTTAGAGTGAATTATGATTAGGTGAACCTCTGGTCTAGGCTTTGAATTAACTTCCTGGGGCACACATGCCCAAGCCTGAGTTTTGGCCTGGTCTGCAGTGGAGAATGTTTGCTGTGTGTTACATGTGACCATGTGTGTGTATAGTTGAGGACTAGTTTCTCTTGATGCCAGATTAGAAGTGGATGCTCTGCGTGCACAGGACTGTGGAAGCAGGGAGGACTGGCATGCAGTAGTAAATGACACTCTCTGGAGAACAATAGGGTGCCTTTTGCTCAATGTCTTGTCTAATCTAATAATCTTCTGATAATTGCTAGTAACAGAGATTTTGTATATGCAATGAAATATGTTTATATTTTTGTATATTTGTATCATAATTTTAGTAGCAGCTGTTTGATCTTTATTCCAGGGATTTGTCTAAACCTTTTCTGAATGCATTTCCATGAGGATCTAATACTCACTCTAGCAAACTGACAGATCTGAACTGTGGCAGGGAGAAATCCTTCCTTTAGTCTTCCACCCGCTGCCCTGAGCAGCAGCATGGATGTGCCTCTGGAGGAACTGCCTGGTCCTTTCTCATTCACCTTTTCAACTGTATCCATAACTTCATGTTTCTCATGCATTTCCCCACTGTAAGTCCTTCTGGGAATGGAGAGTTTCTAGTTTTAATTGTTTCTTGTCAAGACTGTTAGCACTCCAGATCACCCTTCTTGATCTCCTCTGTATTATACCCCTCTCTGTGCATAGGATTTAGGAAGGTCTGTCAGTGAAGATGTAGAGATGCTATGGTGGTATTTGTTCCTAAGTGCTTTCATAATAATGGTAATTTTTTTCCTCTGTCATTCAAGGGGCACTGACTTGGCATTTGGGAAGCATATGATACTCCAGCTATATAAAATTGCCACTGATGGTGTTAGGAGGATGGAATGCAGAGATGGGGCTGTTTATCTCCCTACATCTCTTACTTGGTGCTACTGACCTTCATCTGTCATTTCTGCCCACTGGAGACACAAATCTTCTTGCCTGTCCTCTCCAACAATAAACTTGTGGCTATCCTCAATAATTCCCTGTCATCAAAAACCTTAATCAACATACATTTCTCCAAGCATAACAATATCTTGGGAGTCAGGAATTCAGATGTTCAGATGCCATCTAGTATCTTCCCATCACCCTGGAAAGCTGGCAAAGTATTTCTTTCCTTACTAAGTGGTTAAAAGAGAGATCTGTATAGGTGCTCTTGCCTTCTAGCCCTCTAACAGTTGGTTTTTTTTCTTCTGGAAATCCATGGCTGTAACAAAGAAAAGGATTATTGTGCAGTCTCATCAGTCTCTCAAATTAGACCTGGAAAGCCTGATTTCCTCAATAAACACAATTTTGTTCCCTGCTCCAGAAGCACTGTATCCAGTGAGCCAGTGTCCATTCACTAGCCTGGCACACAGCCAAGCTAGCCTGCTGCAATTTCAGTTCCTCCTCCTCCATTTCCCCTTCCTCCATTTTTCTCACCCATCTGATTTTGGCAAATGGGTAAATAAATATCCAGATATGCTCAGCAGAGCAAGATCCTTTGTAATACAGGGCTGAGTACCAGTTTATTCACAGATATGGCTTTGTGCTTTTGGATAAGAAGAACTGGGCTTCCTCAGTGAAGAACATAGTTAAGTCATTATGTCTTAATTATTAAAGTTGCTTTTCTCCCAAAGGAAGAGGTGTTTATGTGGGAACTTCCATTACCTTATTTGTATCAGTGCTTATGTCAGGGAACCTTAGTTTTTTATTAATTTACTTCAGTGCTGCTGGCACTCTGATCAGGTATTCAACTTCCCATGTCCTTAGCAGCCGTTCCTCAACTCTCTTGTCCAACTTAGCAAGTTAATATAAAAACCACAATAAAGATTATGCTATCTTCCTTGATTTGACTTTTGTCCTTATCCTCTTTGATGAGTGACCTTATGTTGTTGTTCCCTTACTCAGCTGTTTCATCATGCAGTCACTTATGTGGTGTATGGATTACTAGCCTAGCCTGACACAGAGGCTGTGATGCAAATAGGGGCCAACCAAAATTGTCAACTGCTTCTTAACCTGCCTCCCATCAGTATTTCCATCATGGTCCCAGCTTGCTTAGCCTGGGCAGCCCCACAGCCCTCCTGTCCATCTCAGCAGGAATTTGAAGTGGCTGCAGTGCCTGCAGATGTGCAGTGTGAGCTGAGTTCCAGTGTGTGGGTACTGCTGGAGAAGGCTGTGATCCTGTCCTCTCCATGGGCTGTAATGTTGGCAGAAGTTTTATTTTTTCCATAACCACAGGGCATATGGGTCTGAGTAAAAAGTACGTCAGGGTTGTGTATAGTTCTATTCCCTTTGCTTAAAAATTGATCCAGATCTCCTTCACGGTGTGGGCACACTAATGCTCTGGCAAGAAGGAACTGTATGACAGGTCAGAGTGGAGATTAATTTCCCCTTAGATTTCTGCTATGTAAAATGCCTCTGTTCTGCCCTGTAGCAGTGGCTCAACAAGCCCACTCTAAAAGGACACCCTTCTCTACAGAGGCAACTGGCAAAGTGAATTACTGTCTGGGAGGAGGGAATCCTCTGGCAGTGCCACTACTGAAAATAAGCCACTTTGTGCATCCCTGTCATTGGAGTTGTAAGTCACTGGTGACCAGCACAGTGCTTGTGATGCCAGGACTACTCCCCTGCCCCTGTCTGCCAAGCTTCCCCTTCCACCCCTCACACCTTGCTCCCACTGCTATTAAGTGGCCTTGTGCAAACTTCAGCTTATTATGTCTTAATTATACAAGGCCTGCAAAGGTGGAAGAAGAAAGTAAGAAAAAACCATTTACAGTAGCTGGCTGATGTTAACAGAGGGGCACAACATATCCAGGCTGCACACTCAGCCCAAATTACAACATGGTTATTACTGACCTTAGGCATAATGCCACATTCCAAGGGAAAATGTAAACCGTGCCAGGCACCAACTTCCTGCAGCTTAATTAGGATTATGGGACAGTTTCACAGAATGGTTGTGATCTAAGAGGCAGCAGTTTTGAAAAGGGTTTGCCATCATCAGGTATGCCATTAATGGGTTTATAATTAGTAGACGCATGAGCTACTGTAAGAGATTTATACAACAGAGCGTTCTAATCTCTGCTGTTACTGATGCTTGTCTGTGTTCTTCATACTGGAAAGACTCCTACTTTTGGTCCTGGGGTTCCCATACTCTTGTGCACAAGGGTGTCTGCCTGCTCTAGTTCCCATGTGGAAATCTCTATCCCACTGTTTAACCTATCTCTTGCCTTCTGCTGGCATTAAACATCTAACAAACATCAGGCTCAGACTGGAGCTCATCACTGCATTAAACTCAGATTACTCCCATTTCTCCCATATTTAATTATAGCACAACTACACGGTAAAAAAAGACTCATTTCTAAAAGGCAGATCAGGCTGCTTTGAAGAGCACTGAAGAACACACCATGGTCCCCAAAAGAACACAGGTAACATTTTACAGCAAACTACCAAGCACAACCCATCCTGCCTCCTCTCCTGGGTCTCCGGTAGCAGGCCAGCAGTCCTTCCTGCCTGCTGCACTGCTCCATGAGGCCTGGGGGACGCAAGCAGGTGGACAAACATAGCCCCTCCTGGGCTGCTGCACCAGGCTCTGCTCCCAAAACCATTTCTGGGGCCTGGCTTTTAAAACAAAATCTTCACGAAAGCCTGAAGCAAGGAAAGGAGCTTGGAAAATATTTGACAGACTTCAGTAGCTGAACTCCAATCTCTTGCCTTTTGCACAAAGTTATCAAGAAGATGGTATCAAGACTGCCATGTAAAGCTTGCGCCAAACTAAATTAAGCAGAAATTCCTAAGATTGTGCTGGTGGAAAAAATGGCTGTAAAGAAAAAAACTGTATAACCTGAAAGATATGACTGGGTATGCACTGTGAAGTGTTTGGTGTCCTGTATGGATATCTTGGATAATGCTCAAGACCTGCACAAGATTAACAAATGACTCCCCTTATGCCTCTAGTCAGCAGTGCTATGCCAGTGATTTCAGCCTGCATTCTCTTAATCCCTTTGGTAGCCTTATTCTGCATAAACACCTCACTTTTATTACTGGAAGCCTGAAAGAGGTGCAGGTGATGGCTGAAGATGCAGTGGGACAGATGGTGGTGGCCTGAGAAGAGCTGTAGGCCACTGTCCCTCACTGACTTTGGCAAAAAGTTGCTGAGGTTGTGGCAGCCTGGCTGCAGGAGGTGGTGCTCAGCCAGTGATGCAAGAGGGCTGGGCAAGTGAGAGCCACGTCTCACTGTGAGATAAGGCAGGGCTGTGGCCACTGCATCAGCCATAAACACTCAGGTTGTCTCCTCATGCTCTGCAGCACTGGTCAGGCAGAGCTGCCACCCGACAGTGATCCTCAGTCACCTTCCCCTTATCATTAACTCAAGTGACACAGAAGCGCGGGAGCTCAAGGGACAAATGAAACAAAGAAAGGCAGGGCCATGTGGACAATAAACAGTTTATTACCAATATGAACACAGATACTGTGATGCACTGACGTACCATTTTTTAATATTGTGATAACTCTGAGACAAAGAACTTGTTGGCTGACAACTAAACATGTCTCTCTTTCTTCTGGTGATGCCTCAATACGTTTCTGTTGGCAAAGGATCTTCATTTACATTGCAGACTACTAGTAAAATTACTTTGAAGTCACCTATCAAAAGCAAATGGTTCACATGTGTTCTTATCTACTACTAAAAAGAAAGGTAATACATTTAAATAAGCAAATACAAAATACAAAAAAGGCTGACAAATCCAATGTGCAGTGTCAGATGAAATCTAAAAAATCCGAAAATTTAAAATTTAATAATCTTTAGATTAAGACTTTTAAAATGAAGCGAATCCAAGGCAGCAGCAAGCTTCAAAGTGTGCTGAGTCTGCTAATAAAAAGGGTGTAAGAACAAAGACAGTGCCGGTGTCCTCTCTCACCATCTTGCATGACCTTGGTACACTTAGAAATGATCCGATCTTCCTAGCATTCTTAGTACCGTCCAAATGCTTTGCAATCATTATGTTGTACTGATTCTACTCAACTCCTGCCGTATGGCTAGAAAACCAAACCAAAAAGTTAGTGCATAATGTTACATCCAGTGTGATGGAAAATGCTACGTACAGAGGTTGCAGAAAGTACACGCTGGTAGAAGGATGAGTGGAGGGTAAAAGGATGAGTAAGGGTAAGCAGTCAGCTGTTGGCTTGCAAACTGCAGTACTACTTCAAGAAGTTGCATCTGTGGTGTATGTGAATGCCTTATTTTGCACTGGAATGAACTAGGGAGGCTCTGAGGGCCAAGCTGCTGGGACAGTAGCGTTTGGGCAAGGGCCTCTTCAACTGCAAACTGCCCCGAGTTTTGTGAGCACACAGGTCTAGAGCAAGGGGACAGGGAATGGATTTTAGCTGTTTTACAGTCTCCTCTTTTTCCCTTCTGTGTAATCTAAGGTGGGGAGTACAGTGTGTGGACATGCATCCTTCATATGCCCTAATGTGGGCTTCAAATGGGAGTTTTACGGAGCATTTCAACAGTGGCCCTGAAAAATACTTTCAGTTGTATATTGCAAAGCAATTATTAAAAAAAGTACTGATACATTTGGTACAGCTGCTGTATTTTTCAATGAATTATAAAAATGCATGGCTATTTGGAAAGCTGTAACCAAATGAAGGTCTAAACTAGCTCTTCAAGCACAGGAAGCCTACAGAAGATTTTTGGGAAGGATTTTCAGTTAGCTGCCTTTGTACCCTCCTCATCCTGGACCTGTGTGGCCAGCTAGTTACAAGATTTCACGCTTGCTAATCGTGATAAATTGATGTGCCATGGGCTACGGGCAGGCCCTTTCTCACCCTCCCACCTGTGAGAAACACCAGCCAGTGAATTTCTCATAGGTTGGTGGTAAAAATGCTCATCAACAGCACAATAAAGGATGTAAACACAATGTTATGGTCAGAGCTCAGATAAGGTAGATGCTTGTTCTTCAAATGTTTGTATAAATCAGAGCTGCTCAGAGAAGTCTGAAAACACCAGGGAACTCTCTGCAGCTCCTATCATCTTATCTATGGGAAATTAGTCATAAAGATGAGAAAAATAATAATTTTTCTCTTTCTTACCATCAATTATCTCCTCTTTCACTTTGTGTAACTCTCTTACAACTTCCTCCAATATTTCCTGATGAGACAAAACACAAGTCAGCTGCTCAGAATTTCCTTCTAACTGGTGGAAGAAAATGCAAGTTTAACACGGTTGTGCTTGTCCCCCGCCTCCGCGGCCGATCAGAGCCTGGCACTACAAACAGCTACTTCTGCACTCCCAGGCACGGATGCAGAAGATGCTGGCATATTTATTTGCACATTTCTGTACAGACATATTGATGAAATAGCAGTGAGATTGTGCTCTCTTGCTGCTCACCAGCTAGCCCTTCTCTAAGCACCTAGTTATAGAGGAAATCAGAAGACTGAACAGCTGTTTTGCTTGTACAGCGCATGCATGGGGGAAAATGGGTAGCTCATTGAATCTCTTAAGTGCAAATGGCTTCTTCACTCACCTGTTTCATTCGATCAAAATCTAAGGCATCCATAGCCACATCATTGCTGCTGCTCACTGGTTTCATCCTTGAGAAATGGAAGAAGAGCATTAAAAATCCAGTAAGTTCCTTGTAATGTGTGCTAAGCTACACGTACCTGATGGTGTGGATGAAATCCACCGCAGAGCAGGAGCTCTTGTGTTCCAGTGCTGGACAGGAGACTCCTTATCATGCTGCTCAAGAGCATTTGGCAGCCAGGGAGCAGCACTGCTCCCATATGCACAACCTGACCCTCAAAGATGCTGTGAAATTTCTCCCATTGCAGACATATTGGAGGGAG